GGTCAAGACTGGCTTGTTTTGCTCTTGTCAGACTGGGTCTACCTATCCCTCTGGATGGCCCCCATTCGTCTTTTTGGCAATTTGCCTGGTGTCACAACGCTTGCAAGCTGAATCGAACCGGAAACTTGGCGGGTGGTGTGTTGCTACATGCTCTAGGATCAATATCTGGCACGGGCTCAGCTGAATTTTTCTAAGCGTACGAGCTCTCAATTCCCAGATTCTACCAATTGTGCTAAAGGGCTTCTTTTGTGATTAGGCGACTGATATCACCCGATATATACAGTTTTTGCTTGCCCATTCCTTGGGCCAACCAACAAGACATCGAAGACACTAAAAAGATACCTCATTGAGTTGAGAATAGCATAAGCGACTCAACCAATCTGATTCAGATGAACAATCCACCTAAAGGGCTATAACGAATGCCAAAAGGATAGCAGGTAATAATAGCAGCTATTCCTGGAGAGAAAAAAAAATCATACAACACTGGGAATTCGCCGGTCGCCACCGAAGAGTATCAGTCCCCTCTCCATTATTGCCGATTGGCACTTTGGCTCACGACCTTTTCAATAAGCAAACCTCATTACAACCCGAAATCAATGTACTAACTTTAGGTAGGTCGGTATATCAATAGGTATTTTGATATGAAAACGCTTGCTTTACACAGTAATGTAAGTCTATAATTAATATGACCGCCGCAAAGAGAACAAGGCGGATAATGCGACCCTTCGAGCTAGATCCCACCTCTTATTTTATCTAACCAGTCAATTCATGCACCATCTATGCCTCGTTTCCCTTCTAACCCAAGTAACGCTAGACAAAGAAGCTCACGCTTAAATACAACTTAAACAACTACCTTACACGCTCTCGTCACTCATCTCGGGCTTAACCAGGCCCTCCGCCCGGCGGGCCTCCATACGCTCATCAAGCATACTTCCCGTGTCGTCGTCATCATCATCTTCCTCCTCACTCTGCAATCCCCTCTCTTCTACTCCCAATTCACTAACGTCTCGCGAAGATTCAGACTCCAGTGGTCTCCGTCGCTTCTGGAAGTCCTGTTTGTGCGCGTTGGCCATAATACCACGAATTGACCACGCACGTAGCACCTTGGGCCGTCTGCGCCACCGCATTCCGCTCCCCTCTGCCTGCTCCTGGGCTGGGGTCTGTATCTGCGTTCGAGTCTGTTCGCGGCCAAGCGCTGAGGCACCTACTGTGCTTACGTCAATCGCACTAGCTGTAGCTTCCTCGATAGGCAGCATAGGAGCTTGATTTGACTGCGTTGCCGTCCTGACGATGCGATTTTGGTCTTCTTCCTCGCTGCTGGGACGCTCAATAAGGGGTTCATGTTGCATCAAGGGGTAGGGTAAGGGCACGTCGCGGCTGGCCTTGTACTGAGCAACGTTGCCACAATGTTCATTCTCGACGCGGAACAAGGCCCACATGCCGCGACGTGTGACCTCGGCCAAGGCGACGAGAAATGAGACGATGGTACTGTGCTGCTTGTTGTGGGTGAAAATGGCGTAGAAAATCCAACTAAAACGTAGTATTGGATCAAGCACCATAACAACGTAATATAACCACCGGCGTTTGAGCCCTAGGATGTCACGAAGGAACCGGTGTCGCGTGTCGGGCTGAAAGAAGGAAAAGTCCATAAATAAGTCCCATATTGCTGGAAATACGTGTTAGAAAGTAATTTGTTTTTTCTGCAACTCCGACAAACGAGCTGGAGCTGTTCAAAAACTTACAAGTATATATGCTGTTCACAATGGAAAAGGTGACGAAGAGCCCGAGATTTGAATCCGTGGCTCTCATGCGGTACAACGATAGGGTTACAGACGACATGATTGTCATGCCGTACTTGCCACCGTTGACCAGATGCGGGAATACGTTCTTAGTATCGCGGTAACGACGAATACACTGCAGCGCACGCCAGACTGGGGGCAATGCCGAAAAGAATCCTAACAAGCGAGAATTATTTGAATTACATTGGACGGGGTTGTTCCAATCGTGTGCATAGAGGCAAAAGAAGAGTTCAATATTCTGATTTCCTAATTAGCTCCTATGACAGGTTATGGGCCGTTGACCATCATGACTTACCGAAGTAGCATAGGTAAGGGAGCAGTACATGTCACCGAGGAAAAAGTCGCGGAATTCGACGGGATATAATCCGGCGAAGAATAATCGAAACTAGGGATGTTAACGTAAGTTGAGCTGATGGGGTTTTGGTACTTACATGAGAATACATGAGCCATTGGCGACTCCTGTGCCATAAAATTGGCGCCGGAAGTATGAGGATAGCGAGCGTAATGGCTATTAAAATTACCGGGTAGTATAAATATAACTCATCCGACCCGTACCTAGTGAAGTTGACCCAGAAAAATATACCAAAAAGCAAGAGGAAAAAGCTGGGGAAGCTAGACAGTTGTCTCCAATCCAGGCTGTTTCTCGTATCAAACTCGAAAATGAAGGGATAGTTGATCTTGTTAATTGTCCACATGTAGCAGTCAATGCAGAATAGGAACATCAAAACAAGCATTAGAAAATAGCCACCGTATATCTGCATAAGGTAGCTAGTCCGTTCTTGCACCACGGGATCCGGATCGAATAGGAGTTCGGCACCGTACACGAGGCCTTGAAGGGTAAATACAGCCCCGGTACCGATAAAGAGTCCGTTCCGAAACGCGATCGCGGATTCGTCCCCTGGCCGTCGGTTTAAGCGATGGAGTTTCCCTGAGGCAATCTTGCGATTGCCCTTTTCGAAGTATCTCGCGTACAAGTCCTCGACTGAGTGAATATATCCATCCACCGTGGTACTATTCACGAACCATGACTTGTTGACTTTCTCGTTCATATACTTGTAAGGCGGTCGAGCATTAACAGCCTTATCATACTTCTTGTTGAGTTTTCGGAAAGCAGTCCGGTTAAGTTGGGCATAAGACTGGAGGAGTTCTAGACCCCTATAGAACTCTTGTAAGGCTAGCTTTAACTTTCGCTTTGCCGTCCTGTATGACACTTCGTGGCTAGAGGGTCTCCTCATATAGTCCCTTTGCGAGTCTGCATTCATTGCACTAAGCACCGGAGTGAAGTGCAACTTTGAAAATGCCTTTGAATTGGCGCCGGGCTTGAATATTCGGGACTTAATCGGATCGACCCAACTGAGAGAATTGTTGGCACCGGACGAGACCCCCTTATTATCATGACTACTACCGCCATCGCCTCTTCCTTTAAGTTGTTTTAGCTCTGCTAGTTCTTGTGTACGTCGATTCCGCATCTCGTGTAATTGGTCCCGGAGAACAGCCAAGCGTTGTCCGGCCTGCTCTTCCTTCTGGCGATAGAACGTCTCTACCTTATCGAGTTCGCTATCTAGGAAGTCAAAAAAGTCCTTTTCACGCTGCCTGACCGTTTCGATTGCTTCTAAGCCATACCCGAACTTGGCGCTCTCGGTTCTGTTAAGACGCTGGGTCAAGCGCGGGCCGGTCGAGAATATACGTCGAAGTTTACCAGGCGACGCGTCTTGCTGGGGCATAGAACCGCGGCGAAGATAGGAAGCTATTTGTGAAGCGCCTCCTGGAGTGGCTGAGTTCATAGATATACTGCGCTTTACAGACTGCCGGCTGATAGACTTCTGAAGCGTGTTCGTTGGCCGAGATGGAGGTTGTTCGTTTGTGATCGCAGGATCGCCCAATGCAGGACCTGGCAACTCGAACATATTCCAACTTTCCATAGTTGAAGGCGGCGTAGGCACAAAGCTGCCATATTGTCCCTCATTCCCCGGTGACGTCGTCAGCGATTGACGTTCTGTCCGCGCGGGAATGGTTGTCGATTGAGCTCCTAATGCGTGATGAGTCCCCCGATTCGCACGTCCTATGGGTGCGGGGCTTGCTCGTAGAGACTCAACTTCATCTACGATTCCTGCTTCGGGACCTCCATTTTGCTGACGAGAGAATTGACCAGGATGAGGGGTCGCCTCATGAGGTGGAAGGTCCCCCTTTTTCCCTTGGCCTAATGGCGTTCCATATGCCTTGTTAATTGCTCTCGAGACAGCTTTGATATGTTTCTTGCCAGCCTTGTAGTTTAAATATTTGACTCTCCATTCTAGTTGCTATATTAGCATCCATATCTATCTGCTCCCCCTTTCCCCCGACTACCTGAAAATGCATAATTCACAACTTACCTGGCACAAGGTCCTGCTCAAGCTCCTTGGCAAACTTCATGACGTCAATGAGATGAAGGCAAGGATTTTTAACCTTTCAAACTTTAGATCTATTTCCGTACGCATGGAACAGTGGATTGATTAAATTAGAGGATTAGGGCAGTTGATGTTCAGATATTCAGGATGGTACCCAATAACGAGTCAATAATGAAGGAGTGATATACAAAATGGGCCCCTGAAATGGCGCGTGTACCGCCGGAGGAGAATTTGATCAACAAACGAAGAAATCAAAAGACCCGCCTCGTTTGTTTAAGAGCTGAAAAGTTTCGCGCTCCATTCTATTTACAGGGTAAGATTATTACATATACCCTGCACACCCTGGCACACCGTTCGTTCTTCAGTGGGGTCTCTTCTGTGCCTTCCCATGCCTATGTATGTAGGTACTTAGGTATTATGTATCTCTATCTTGGTCTAGACTTCCGATAATAAACCAGTGAGAGCCACTATAAACTCCCGAACGGTATCCGGCACTTTTAGCGTATCCCCTATATTCGAGTAGCGTAGTTGCGCTTCTTTACATAGGCTTATTCAAGCTATAGATTCGATACTACTATCTCACCTTAGGTACTTAAATGTACTAAATTCGCGGGGATATGATAAAATCAGTATGCAGATATTAATGACGTTACTCTTCGTTCATTCTACATAGATAAAAGCGCGCTCTTCTTATCTCGGCTACCGCCGCTTCAAACCGGGTGGTATATTAGTACATAGTTGTTCGAATTTATAGAGTTGAATTGAGCTTTTGCTTATTAGCTCTTTCTCTTTAGATTTATAATTCGTGACTAAACTAATATATTAAGCTAATGTTTTATCATCCTAATAGTTATTAGATTTTTAAGTTATGCATTACTACTTACACCACACCTATGCGCTATGCTCATAAGTGTCGAGACAATGAAGGGCACATTTTATGAAAGCGACTCTAAGAATTATAGAGCTTAGAACCAATTAGTATCCAGCCACGACCGGGCTACTAAACTTATTTTGACAGTCAGCCCCAATTTTTCACTACTGGCTAACCTAGGTCTTTCCTCATCCACCACAGCCTCATTCACGAAGCACAAAGCCGATGAGAGTGAAAACATTAAGTCGGCGCTACTACTACATACCTCATCTATACTCTTATTTTTTTAATTTTCAAGTTCGACTCCATATTAGAATTCATCCTTCCTTTCTTTCAAGCCCTTGACTAAAGCATCATGGCATCGTTGCCGGCGGGGATAACCCCTCGCCTTGTTGTGTACTACCAGACTATTCACGATTCCAACGGTAACCATATCTCAATATTACCCTTAATCACGAAGCCCGACATATCGATTACACACCTAATCGTGGCCGCGATTCACATCAACGAAGATCCAAATGGCTTAACACTCAACGACCATCCCCCCTCAGACCCGCGATTCATTACCATGTGGGCAGAGATGCGCATTGCTCAAGCTAGCGATATCAAGGTTCTTGGCATGTTAGGCGGTGCAGCTAAGGGTTCTTATTCTCGGCTAGACCAAGACCAGGAGACTTTTGAGAAGTACTACGGTCCTCTCTACGACCTTATCCGAGAAAGAGATCTCAACGGCCTCGACTTAGATGTTGAAGAGCAAATGTCGCTAGGGGGCATCGTGCGCCTTATCGATAGACTCAGAGCAGACTTCGGTCCCGACTTCATCATTACTCTTGCGCCGGTCGCAGCAGCTCTCCTCGATCCAAGACGCAATCTCAGCGGCTTCGACTATGAGGCCCTGGAAGTTATGCGCGGCAAGCAAATTGCTTGGTACAATGCACAGTTCTATTGCGGATGGGGCGATGCTAGTACTCCCGTGATGTATGAAATGTGCATCGCAAGGGGCTGGCCGCCGGAAAAGGTTGTCGTTGGTCTTGTGACGACGCCAGATAACGGACCCGGCTGGGTACCATTCGAAGTTTTAGAACCGACGCTGGCAGTCTTGTGTCACCAGTTCTCTAAATTTGGAGGTGTCATGGGATGGGAGTACTTCAATGGGCTGCCAGGGGGCAAAGGACGACCTTGGGAATGGGCGCAGCGCATAACGAAGCTGTTAGGGGGCACTCGAGCTTGGGATGCAGAAAGTACCAACGTAAAAAAGGCTCAGGGTAGAGGGGTTCTCGAAGTAGATCCGGACACTGGTAATGGACCAGATCCAGAGATTCCTCAGGGTTTCGAGTATTACTCTGATGGCTTGGATGAGGATGCCAACTAAGTTGGTCTTGGTGAAGAATGAGTCACTATAGGTGCGTCAGGGTCGTACTTCCAAGAGTTTACGTGTGCTATCCAAGTCTCGTAGTGACTGTATAGACCGTCAATGAGAGCAATCATATTGCCGAAGTCAGGACAACATCAATCCTAAAGTAGGATCGCGAGATGAGTTCCAACATTCAGCGCACTTCGGCAGCGTAGGTATAGTCACCACGATTAACTATGGCCAACTTCTAGGAGCTTAAATGTTGTGCCCTAGAAGCATTTAAGAGAGGTTCACGGGGTAGCGATAATTATTAATCCTTCCTCTGATGGGGTGAACTGTACAAACAGACAAAATCTAAAGCTCCCACTGAATATTGTATGATAGGTAACACGCCTACTGACCTGATAATATTAACGAAGAATTCAGCAAACATTTCGTCAAGTACTGATATATATTTCTCTCATATTCTCGAAACCCCCTCCTTACTCCCATCATCAACCATATCAATCCAATGTTCAGACGAAGATATTGCTTTTCCCTTAGGACTTTTAGCGCTTCCCAAAGGAAAATCTCCCATAGACGGCGTTACCTATGCCTCGTATGGAGGGAACCAAAAAATTCTTAAGGGTCAGGGCTCATACCAGCAGAGAGCAAGAATCCAAGCAGGCCAAAATGACACATGCGCTCTCCGAATCTGCGCGATCAAAAAAGCACAAAACCGTCGAGATTACCGAGAGAGTAGCACATATCCAGAAATGGAGACGGGATAAGATCAAACCCCCCAGCCATCCCAGCGGCCCCGGTAATTTTAAGGAGAAGGCAGGAGAACGCCTCAACCTTCTCCGCGGTCGCGTTCCATCGCTGGATGCTGGTAAATATACAAGGGCAAGTACCAGTAGTAGCGAGAAGGAACAAGCAGGTTCTCTTCACATGAAAACCAACACTGGAGACTGGCGGCCAAGGCTAAGGCTAACAGAAAAAGGAAAGGGGTTAGTAAGGAATTTATCGTGGTCGACCCTCAAGGAGAATGTTAGGCCAAAACAGAAAGATCCCCTCCACCAGTGGATGGTTGATCACTCTGGTGGCACAATTAAGTAACACTAGATTTGAACAACATACCTATTTCTATGCGAAAAGGGTCCACCGACGTATAGTATAGTCCATGATGGCTTCGGTTTGTTGAAGCATAAGTGACTTTTTGTAGTACTTTAGGAGATTATTAGACCATCCTAGTAATTGGTGTCGGTACGGCAACAAACCGCCACCGTACTCGCTTCAATCAATGTATACTGAACTAGACGCCTCTGGTGGTATATTGGGTCTTAAGTTTCGTTTATTAAAAGAGAGGTTACAGCTGATCCAAGAGAGTGGTTAATATAGCTGCCAGCTTCGTTAACCCTGCTGGGTTGGTAGATGGCCTTGGGCGTTATCCTTAGTAAAACCGAAGCGTGCAGAAAGGTCACAAGCTTCCTAAAGCCGAAATCAAAGAGAGGAGGAAATTATAAGAAGAGGAGAAAATAAGAAATAACATGACATCTAGTTTATCCCAAAGTGACAAGAAACAGGAATGATCCCCAAGTGTGTTTGCTGCTCCCTGAATATCATCTCTCAATAGCCTTTGAACATGCTAGCAGTTAGCCGATGGCTTTGAGTTGCGATGACGAGCGGATTATCTGAATTGTGATCACTATCGGACTAGTCTATCAAACTCACGCTGGATGGGACTTTGCGAGAGATTGGTTCGAAAAAGCCTTTGCTGGTGCGCTTTCGAAATGGGACGAGGAAGACGGGATAGTCCGCTCTCTGCAGAATGCTATGGACAATAAGCATGTCTCATACCTATCGGATGAAGACCGCCCGTTAAAAACAATCTTTGGCGTATCGGGGATCAGCATAAGGCCAGGTCGGTTACACCTCGAGTAGATGAGTACTGATAATCGGCGTACACAAGATCTAGGTCTCACTTAGGACATGAAGCCGTATCGAACATATATATCCAGGGTACCCGTCATATAGCTGTCCCATTTATTTATACTCTTTCAGTCGCTACCAGATCTATCTCAAATGGTAATTTTCTCAAATAGTAATTGATTGTCTCTCCTATCGCTAGATCCTGAGTCCCGTTACTAGTAAAACCTGTGTTATGGGCTTAGCAACCTCTCATACAAACCGTAACAACACCTCTCTTCAGTCTGACTTTATCAAAACTATAACTAAGATACTGGTACATGACAAGTATGCCCGTATTTAATTAGCTGTTTAGGTAGGTAACGACCCGAATCGAGTTCTAGAATATCTTTAAAAACAGATGCCAGGTATATGAGTACCTAGTCTTCATTTGCTAATATCAACAGATTTCTCAAGAGACCTAACTCTTACATAGATAGTAACTAGCTACAAGGTACTCATCTTCTATGAATTAAACATAAACAGTTTTATCTACTCAAGCCACCGGACTAACTACCTACCTAAACTATAGTTATAGCGTTACTAGAAAAGGTTACATCGTGTCTCGACGAGGTATACACTACACTAGCCAAGCACCTAATGCGCCCGCTCTAAGGGTACTATACATACTTACGATCTCTTACACTATATACCTAGGTACCTAAGCCATTGCTTCTTCAGGATATTACACGTGCTTTAAAGCAACAGATGTAAACTAAAGACAGCCATGTTTTAGAATCAGGGGTTACCGCTGTTCGGCCAAGTTTATATAAGTCTTGTTCCAAGTATTCACTGCCAATAGCAGCAGAGATATAAGACACGCTAGGATCTAAAAGTCTAGAACCCGCGTAGCCCTCCTGGAATCTAACCAGACCTTCAGCCCCGCACGCACACACCGTCGCGCAATCTCCGCCAACCTTATCGGCACGTTCTACCGTCTATCTATTACCTTCCGCTTTCAGTTGCAACCTATCTGCATGCCTAGCTGTGGAATGCTTCGGTGCTTGTTCCAGAAGAAGAAACTGTTGTGTCCCGTCCAAGTGTGATTTGCGTAAGTTATAGGGACGGGATAGTGTTCTTCGGTGCATTATGCCTTGCGAGGAAGGAGGATCGTCAGGTACGGAGCGCGGGAGAGTTGTTGAGATGAAGTGTAAGTGTATAGGTATATATAGAGTAGATATATGGTCGCTCATTCCATGCTATCTCGTAGTTCGATCCCCTTTATTCCGATCAACTCTCTAGATACCACTTGATTCCTTACTCACAACTCTCAATAACCTAATCGGAATCATGAAGTTCTTCGTCGGCAGCTTTGCCTTCCTGCCCCTCGCGGCTCTTCTCACGTCCGTCGCTGCCGCCCCTATTGTCGAGGAGCGTGCCGAACTAGCTGCGACAACATGCGGTTCCACGTCTTATAGCGCGACGCAAGTGAACCAGGCTGCACAAAAGGCATGCAGCTACTATAGCTCAGGAAGCGCACCTGGTGGCTACCCGCACACATACAACAACTATGAGGGCTTCTCGTTCTCAGTTTCTGGGCCGTACCTCGAGTTCCCGATCCTATCCAGTGGTAGTGTGTATACTGGCGGTTAGTCGTGATGGCCTTTCTCAAGTATATGATGCGAGCTAACAGCTGATAGGCTCTCCTGGGCCGGATCGGGTTGTCATTAACACTTCCTGCAAGCTAGCAGGTGAAATCACTCACACTGGAGCTAGCGGCAACAACTTCGTCGGCTGCTCGGGAACATCTTAAACTAACATACGTACAAGTTAGTCGATTGCGATGGCTATGAGGTACTAATGGTTTCCTGGGCCTCAGCGGGTCTAAAAATGATTTATACGCTGGCTGTAAATACACAATAAATACAAGGTGTATATATAAAATAAGCTACCGCTTTTGTACGTGACCTTCAAGATTCCAACCTTAGGTTTCAATGATATATCTTCACTCGTTATATAGTGCGAATTGACTTAGGAAAGTAGTTACTCAGGCGTTTAAAGACCGTAATAGTGGAATCTATAGATTGTATGAACCTGCCAACGGAGCGGGCTGGTTCTCAATTGAGACTGCTGGGAGTGCTACACCTGTCTCGGCCGGCTCGATGCTTTGCGTCAAGGTCTCCTGGTTGGGCTCGTCTGGCTGCGCACTGTAATAGATTGAAAAGTAACCTCGGCCACCGCCTGTTCTAGAGTTAGCTTAATTATATAGGTACTTGGCGGATGATCCTTGGTGCTCATACACATCTCCTGCGCATATCCCGAACAAGCTCTGTTGCAGAATGAATCTGACACGGCTTCAAAAGAAGGGACTGCTTGACTGCATAAGCAATTGGTGCCGTTTGTCAGAGCTATTACGGGCTGGTTATTGGATTCGCACCAATCCGCACAGAAACCAACTGATTGATATATGTAGGTGCGACTAAATTCTACATTTGTCGGCGAGTCGAAACAGCCCACGTACTCGAGAGGTCCTCGAACAGCTGATGCGAACCCGAATAACGCCAGGGCGATGGATATTTGGTTCAGTTGGACTCTCATATTGACTGGTGATGTAGTGTGTTGAAATGAAAGCTACCTATTCTAAGATGAGAGGTACATATGTATCACAGTAGGTTAGATGGGTACTTTATATAATTGTGAAGTAAATGGCTGCCTAGTAGACTACATACATATGTACGTATGCTAAGTAGTGTACCTCTCAGTAGGAATACATAGGTGAATGGATATTGGCGGATTCGGGTAATTTCGGTTGATATCCGGGCGCGAGTTGGGCTGATATTGACCAATCGAACGGAAATCCTATATCGTAATTGTATAAGATTTGCGGCTCAACATAGCCCACCTAGGTATATAACACTCTAACCTAGATGTTAAGGAACTGGCGTGATGGGATTTGTATTGTCCATGTCATCGGATAAGTGCATGTACATAGTATATGACACCATGATGCTTCTAGAATGTTTCTTCAGTGGTCAGTTAGCTATGCAGTGTAACTCGACAACTAGAAATAAAGTTTAACTATAAACGGTCGGTACAATACTGTATTGTCGTCATGACCATGCTACCATAAGGGGTTTAAAAAAGAGCATATTCACAATTGCTGTATTACATACCTAGGTAAATATGTAAGCAGACATCCACTTGTGTAATACATAGATTAGGTATTTATGATAACTATTTGTTCTCTTATGCTGAAATAAGCCTCAAGTTTCAATAGTGCATCTTTGTTTTAACCCTGAACCACAGACCCACTCTTGCTGTCGTACTACCTAGTAGCCGGACGGGACGTAAGCCAAACAGCCAATAAGCATTGCCCTAAAACCAATCACACTAACCAAGCTCCCTTGCTCCTTTCCTAAAGCAGACTAGAATGACGTCGTCTCGAGATATCGGACGAGCTCGAGAGCATTCGGTGAGCTTAGCCTTCCTTTATTTCGACAGTTTCGACCCGCAGCTTTAACCCGCAGCTTTAAATAGACTCTTTCTCCCCTCTTCTCTAACTCGTCTTTTGTTTCTATTGTTTTCCTTTAGGTAACTAGACGAAAGCACCACCATCTACACGAACTACAAGTCATCAACTCCAAGAACTTATACCAACAGCTCAATCCGCAACCATGGCCGCCGCAGAAGTATGCCCCGTCGTTGGAACCACAAACCACACTCTACCGCCCTCGCACCCGGATATCGACCTCTCCAAGCCAGGCCAGACATGTCCTGTCGTCGGTGCTAAGACAGAGCACCACACAAAACTGCACCAACACCCGTCCGTCCCTAGCGGCGAGATCTCCGCAACTACTCAGTCTGTCGGCTCGGCCGATGCGCAGGCCTGTCCCGCACTGAGAAGCGTTGTCAATGAGGCTAAGAGCAAGGAGATGGGTAGGTCCCCCCTTAATAAATACACTCTTTAAACCCTCACCTCCTACTCTCGTAGTAGCTTGCTAACCCCAACGTAGACGACCGCGTGTGTCCCGTTGTCGGACCCGTAACCACAGTCCTACCCCCGGACCACCCTAGCACAGCTAACAAGGCCGACGGAGACGTGTGTCCGGTGACGAAAGCCAAGGTCGGCCACCACAAGGACAAGGTCGTCGTTCACCCCCAGGTTGAAGGATCATCGGGTGTCTGCCCCGTGACGGGAGCGAAACAGACGTGAACTCTTAGAGATTGATGGATGGATTTGTACTATCTAGTCTCGATACGGCGTTTTTTTGGTTAGGATAATAGGAATACGGGCTTGTACGCTATATGTTTACCGATGATAAGCTGTCTTACTGGTCACGCCTAACATGTGATGAGCTATTCCTGTATGAGTATAAAACATATAAGTGAGCAGGCAAAGTATATAACTATGAGGTTACAAGTTTGTTTCATAACTCAATTCGTGGTCATATCTTTGTACATAGTGCGTGACGCTTGAAGAAAAGTGTCCGAGTGCGTTCACCTGATCAGGACAAATAGTTTGAATGTGGATGTTGAAAATTGTCGGAGAGCATTACATTTTCATATAAACTGCCGCTATTATTTCATAAGCTAGTGTAAGTAATACGCTGACACTATGAGAGAATGCATACCCTCCGTGTAAAATACGCTGGACGCTTGGCTCAAAACACATTGCTACTTTTACACAATCCTATCAGGGCAAGCGTGAGGCTAGTCTCCTGTATGACTAGTATACCACCAATTTCGATATTCAACTCTGATGTTTGTCTCCCGAACTATCAAACCCGTATGAACATATGGCTTTCCCACTTCAAAGTCCTGGTGATACGCCGACCATAATGTTTTATCATCGCATACTCCAGTTTGCCGCCCATGTACGGTTCGTGGAATATAATAGAGCTGAGATCACTGTCCAGGCCTATTGTGGGTTTGAATTGCCAGGCTGATCCGAATAGCTTCTCCGCCGTAAAATCCATAGCTAACATAGCATGAACAAAGTCATCCCAGGAAACCTCTCCTAGATTGGAAGGATCGGGTCCATCGAATAATAAGGTACTAAACACCTCAAAAGTTCGGCTATCGACTTTAAATGGATATATTCTGTGCTCTGCTGTAGAACCATTCATCTTCGAATTTACGCTCTCTTTTGCCGTGTTTGCAAGCTTCCCAGCTTCTGAAATTTCTTGGCGAATAAATTCGTCAGATAGCTGATTAGTATTCTTACCCACTATCTTCTTTTTCGACTTAGTCTGCTCTATCTGTGGCTCCTCCCACGGCTCAGTCCTCCGTAGTCTGCGAGAAAATACTGAAGTTGCGCACACCTCTAGTACACGTGCTCTCTGCAACTGGTCGAGGGCTTTGATCCAGAAGTGATCGAAGCTTGCTTCTGTTTCGCGTAGTTTCTTAACTACCTCCCTACTGCGAGGTTCGCGTATTGGATATTTTGATTCTCCTGTGAGAATGTCTCGCATCGTTCCGGCTGTATCGCACCAGAACGAATCAGGTATATTATACACCCTGAACACAGCCTCAAATTTACTCTGGTAAAAGTTTTCAACCTCGCCTGGATATCTTCTGCAGTATTGCGAGAAGCTCTGGAACTGGTGCTGGTATTGCTCAAGTACGTATCGGCATTCGTGTAAAACACCCAGGACCGAAATTTGAGCACCCAACCAGCTACTCACGAGAGGCTTCGCCGTACAATGGCGCTGGGTTAGTAGTTCTAACTCAATGAAAATTCCTTCCAAGCCGATTGCTGATGTACAAAAACATTTTGTGTTAGCTTTGAAATACTACAATTCTGAAATCTTCGCCGTTGTTTTTCGATTGGGTCGAAACAATGGGGCCATCACACTTACTATGTACTAAGCGTTAGACACTGTATACCTTACGAGGGCGGTCTTGAGACCATTCTAGAACGGGGGGTTTGAAAATAACAATACGGGATGTTTTCATACATACCGGAGTCGTTTCTCTAGGCCGGCTATGACTTCAAGGAAGTACACGGCTTCGGTGCAAATTTTGGGCATATTGACCAAAGGTCGGCGTCCAACTTGATAGGAACCGTAACCTTTCGGGTCTTTCGAGTCTGTGACCTCGCAATAGAAATATTCTCTTAACGCAGGCGAGCTATAAATACTTTCCGATAATCGCAAGCGGTCCAGGACTTTTTCGCAGACAACGGCTAGGCTGTGATAAAGTCCATACAACACCTTGTATAAGGATAGCGGCAAAGATGCTGTTTGAGAAGGATCTTCTTTCCACTCCTCGAAGAGGGAGTGTAGGTAACTGAACAAATCATATGCAACCGCCAAGACATCGAAGATTAGGAAGGCATCAGAGAAAACTTCGCGAATTCTTTTTTCCCGAAAGTAATCTTTATTCTGGAGATAAAAAGAGTGCCCCCGACTATTGATATCGAGCAAGTGTCCAGGGCAAGTTTCTTCCCTTTGATTTAGAACCATCCTAAAATAATCAGGATCCTCCCTCATAGACATGAGGTGATCTTCGGCAGCAGATAGCATGGCCCTAACAATAGATTCTATACGACTGAATTCGGTACGGCAGGGGCGTTTATACAATTCCTCAAACGAGTCGATAGCAAAGGAACGAAGCCTTGGCGAATTACTCTTTGGTATAACTACCGCAGGTAAGCGAACAATGGGCTGGTCGGCCTGCGTCAAATCTTCAGTTGGAATATCGTGGAGAATTGCTTCACAACACCTGATAAGAAAATGATACAAACGGTCTTGGGCCGCCAAGATTCGGAAGCCGTTATCTGGAGTAAAAACCTCCCGATCCGAGCCATCGTTGAATCTAACATCGTCGTCGATGTCAAAATGGAACTGGCCGTATGTATCTAACGAAGGAGGTTCTCTAAACAACATGGAGTAACCCGAAAGCTCTACTTTATTGTAATATGGAGTGTAGTAACCCAAAAATACCGAGTCAAGATCAAGGTTGATAAAGTCGCTAGGTGAATACCTTCCTCGAGAATTGAGCATCAGTAAAAGCGGCTCTGTCCTGGATAGATCCTCGAGGTTTATATAGGGCCACATTAACGGCCTTAAGCTCCATTCTTCAATTGGAATAAGTTTCCTATAAACGGCAAGATCAGGGCGATGCGATGGTGGCATATTGGGCCAGACGCCAAGCAAGAGTTTCTTTCGTTTGAGTTTCGATTTCTGGATCCAGCGATTCCGGATTGTATCTTCGTGATACAGAAGGATCGTATTCAACGTCTTCTAGTTGTTGAGAATATTCTGGGCTACCGGCCGAGAAAATCTTTTGGCTTTCTCTAATGTAAGATAAACTTGCGGCAGTGAATGTCGAGATACGCCACGCGCATCATCGCCATCATCTCCATCATCTCTCGATTGGCTAGAACGTGGGGTTACCATGTTGGAGCGCGTTGTAGAGGTACTATAGAATGATGAATAGAATGGATATAGGAATCCGAGTTGATATGAAATTAGTACATTTGTATAGATGAGAGTGTCGAATTAAGAGAAAGGAAAGGAAAGATTACGATGCGTCCTTCCTAGACTTTCTTTCTTTCTTTCCCCAAGACTCAATTCAATTGCCCCATGGCCGGGCTCTAATGCAGGTACCTAGGTACTTACCTCAAATAGGTGTAGTGGATCCTTGGAAGTCCATCTGGGGTTAATGCACACTTCAGCCACCAACTTATTCCAACTTATTCCAACTTATGCCCTAACCCAGTGCACTGCCCTAGAACTTCCCTACATATCAAATCCCCAGCCTTGTCTTCCCAACCATCCGAATATTGTCAATTAATATGTATAATAAAAGGCGATGCTTGCCATGGTAGGTTCAAGTTTTCTTTTTCGTCTTGCAGATCATTCCCTTCCACTAAGCTGCAAGGTGCAAAAACTCGCCGCCCTCAACCAATACAAGCAAAACCCCCTTTGAGGCGTTGTCCAAGATGCATCTAAGCTTGTCGATCTCCTTTCTCTTTATCCTATCCGTGTTTGATTCATCCACAGCATTGCCTTTCATTATACAGAGAAGGCAGCCAACCCAGTCATTGGTCGCTCGCGCTACATATTCTGTAGTCCCGATTGACGGAAATGGTTCAGGTTCAGGTTCAGGTTCAGGTTCAACTGAGACTCCTGGCACAATTGAGACAATTGTTGTAACTTCCCCACCAGTTACCAACACGATAGTGATTACCGCAAGCCCCGCGACCCAGACTGTTGCTACTACAGTCTCTATTATAGACATTCAACCCACAACCAATGTTGTAACCACCACTGTGACTGAAGACGACAATGTACCATATTCAACTTCAGTTTATCCAAGCACAGAGTCTATTACAACAACATCATCGTCTATATCTACCATCTCGTCAACTACACCCCCGACGCCGTCAAGTACGGTAGTCACGCCAGCCCTGCCAACGACTTTCTCCGGCACCTCTTCCCCAACGGCATGGACAACATCCATACCAGTGTCCAGTTGGGTGTGGAGCTCAAGTGCTTCTCATGATGATGGTTCGTGGCACACATCTTATCTTCCTTGGAATGGGACTGTGAGCCGTCGATTTGCTCGTGAGCAATGAGATAGCAATAGCCATTTTCTACCGTTGCGGCTTCTTTATGTACTTTTTATTATAGGAATGAAATGTATGAGAGCAGGATATGGTATTAATGGAGTATTTAGGCGGGGCAGGCCATGGCTTGGAATACATGAACTAATGTAATGGATAACTGGGATGCTTGGTCTGGTTGCGGACCAAGCAATGAACTATACGCAAACCAAGCGCTGGGACGCGTCAAATTTACCTGGTATTATATGACTAGAGAGATATGGGAATATATTACCTAAAGTTGAAATTATATTATCCAACTTTAATATAATTTTAGGACAATATATTAACTAAATCATATACTAAGTTGTGGATTACCTCACTTTGACACAAGGAAAACTGTTTCCTAAACAGGTAATAAGGCTAGCAGTGTGGCCAATCACCTCACAAGCCCCCTCCTATTGGCAAAGGCTAGGACTAGTTATTGACGTTATATTCAGTATTGTGCAGCTACGCAATCGCTGAAGTCTATATTCCATGTTATCCCCTAAAGAGTATCATGCTATGACACTACAACTAGATGCAGTTGCCTCGAGACTCAAGTCGGGGATTATGAATATGATAGAGTAGCAGAATCCTTAAACATACCCGTGAATACAAAAGGGTGACCAGAACTATCAATCTTGCAAACGCATAACTAGGAAATCGAGTCGAGTGTCCACATAATATATATGCTCTGTAATTGCTAACAGCATACGGTATATACTACCTACATAACCTAGCAGGATTAAATCTTCCCTTCTTTCAGTGTGAAGACTGCACTGCCATTCATCGGCCGACTGACAACAATTGCTCCTTCTAGGTCCTTTTCACTCAAGTTCCGCTTAGAGTAATATTTATCAAGCAACGCCTTCTTGATATCGTCAATCTTATTAGCAGGCACCAAATGGACGCTGCATCCACCCCAGCCAGCACCGGTCAACCGGCTACCGTAGCTCCCGGCCTCGCGCGCAATCTTGCACAACTCGTCTATCTCGGGACAACTGCACTCGTAAACATCTCGGCACGAGTCTTGGGTTTCGTTTAGTAATTTTCCGAGCTTAGCATTGTATTCGACTGTGTGCTCAGAGTCGGGGGCCTGTGCCGGATCTTCTAGAAGGGATAAGAACTGGAGAACACGCAGAGCCTCGGTAAATACGTGTAGCGCGCGCTGGCGGAGCTTGAAGTATTCGCCCCGTACCGGGAAGCTGGACATAAACCGAGCCTTTACATCATCAACCGAGATGCCAATACCCGAAGCAACTTCTTCCACGGTGTATCCTTGCTCCTGAGTGAGCGTGGACTTAGTCAGTTCAATCAACTCGGTAAGTTGTTCGGGCATCGACTTCGTGGTATCCTTGAAGTAATTTTGGTGGAATCCGCGTATGGATACGCCTAGTGGGCCAGCATCTTTAGGAAGTTCAGTTCCCCTAGGGCATAACTTGGCATTTAGGTATGCTGCTGCCATGCTGCACTCGACGACCCTGAGATTATAGTGAATTGGACCGGTTTCCTGTTTATTTGAAGTAACAAATGACTGTGCGACCATAAAACACAGTTCAGGGTTCGTTTTGGGAAAGAAGACCGGCCGCGCCGAGAGAGACGGAGTGAAAGAAACCAAGAGAGCCGATCCTCGTTCAGAGAATACTGAAGCGGACTGGTCCATTCTGCAAGATATTAATAATAACCACGCAATTAACCAGGCAGACTCACCCTCCAGAGTTGACACCCACAGCCCGCTCACTGACAATAGCAACCTCGGTCAGAGCTTTCTTGTCGACATCACGTTCGCCGTTGGCAACCATAACAGCCAACGCGCTGGCGCTTACAAAGGCAGCGCTGGAACTTAGACCACCACCAGCAGGCACTGTCCCGTCCATTAACACTTGCATACTCTTGGGCTTGAAATCGTCTCCATATTTCTTCCTTAGCAATTGTAGCGCCCCCCTCAACCCAGACTTGAAGTAATTGGTCCATTCATGTATCGTTGCGTCGATATCAACCTCGGAATAGGACACATCGAACTCACGAGTCGGGAATTGCTCGTTGTCGACATTAGCTATCTTAATCTTGTAACTGCCTTCTTGTGAGGGTTCTAGATCGGTGGATACGGCAAGGATAACATCAGGAGTCATTCCCATGGGCAATACCGAGTAAAGAGAGTAGTCGATATGCTCGCCGATGATATTCACGCGACCAGGCGACCGTGAGACGAATTGGGCGGGGGTGCCATAGAGGGCCTGAAACTTGTCAAGCAGCTTGTTCCACCGCGCAGTCTGATCATTTAGAGCCTGTTGGGTGTATATGTCCTGCAATGCAGTGACCGTAGGTACAGGACCCGACATATTGTCGAGTTGCGATTATGATTATGTTGGGTATGTTAGGTATTCTCAGATGAGTCGCGGGGAAATAGAAAGCGAAAGGAAAAATAGCTGCGTCTAAGTGTCGATGCCCCGCTTCAAGCTTCGAGGGATGATGAATGTTTGCCCTATAGTTACTTGCTTCTTTGTTAATTGAGTTTTATCGTTAGCAATCTTTAGCTTTGCTTAAATTGCCAAAGTAATAATCGAGATTATATTTATATTTTTTATAGTATTTACAAGAAGGGAACAAGGGAACGACGAGGGATTAAAAGAGGCAATGAAATATATAGTTGTAGGACAAACCAGAGATACATGTCACAAGATCGCAAAAATGTTTATATTTCCCATGATTATCGTGAGGTACCTGCCCACCTTAGCTAAGATTGAGAATACCCCGCGGACAGCCGCGCCGAGCAATTGGCCGGCCACCGTCAATTAGAACCCGACCAACCGATACTTTCCATAATGAAATTTCCACTATAACCCCGCTTCCCCACGTCTTTCGTCACTGACAATCAACAATATTTTAGATTTTAGATGAATATTTTACTATCTACATAGGCAGGACAACCCTCCCTTCCATTCCATTCTTAATTCGCATTCGCCCACTTGGGTATCACCACATTTTCAAGCGAGAGCGAAATTCCCTGCAATACATACATAATCTCACACGATGGGATGATAGTTGGGTACCTGAATTACCGGGATTTTCCTAGCTTAAGTCGCCCAGTCGTCTGGGTGGAATGCCATGAGATCATACCACTGGAAGACAGAACCAATCAAAAATGTCTATGAGCCAACAAAAGTAGTAATTGTTGAAGTATGTATTCCTAGGTATCCTCCATGGAAAGGGCAAAGCCGGTAAGTAAAAAATTGATGGAGCCAACAGAACTCCAAAATGCCGCCTGCCAGGAAGCCGAGACTGAAAGGACCAGACCACCGAAGAATTATACTACGGAAGACTGGAAGGAAATAGTCCGTAGGGCTGCTTTCAAATCCGCAATTGCGGGTATCTATAACCACGCACTGCTGCCAAGCAAGGCCGGCTTCCATGTCTTGGTACTACCATCCTCGGTCTGAAATTTGACGAGCTCAAGGATACCTTTATCAGCATTCTACCCCGTTACTAAGACTAGAGCGTCGCCGGAGACAAAAAAGAAGGCGCTGAAAAGCGTTGTAATTGGTACGGCTAGCTTTATCTCGCTAGGGAATACGGTCAACAGGGAAACCCATCCATACATGGTCGTTGGGCGATCACCCTTCATTACCTGATAATTGACGATCCCGTGGCAGTAGTATCCCGCTAGTCTGTCTATCCAACATCTTTGGAATGCGAGACGGAACTTTAAGACGGCACACTGGGACAATCATATATCTTAAATAATACCAGGGCCGTAAGATCTAGTTCTATTAAGGAGTTTTCAATAATATCTCACCCTTTCGAGGACGTTATACGTGAGGTACTGAGGCCGGTGAGTCACTGCCGGTCAACTTGTCCACCAAGTATATACTATATACTATATTTGGCTATTAGATTTGTTGCCTGGCTTCCTAACTAGACGTGAATTAGACATGATTAACTACCAGCTTTGAAGTGTAAGTCGAAGTCAGGGCCGCATCTGGACTCTGACTGTTAATACTCGCTCCGATATATATCGGATATATAGAGAAATTATGGCAGCGCCCCGGTAGGACCCTAGTCCTAAGATCGCATACACGTCGTAGCTAGAACAGCTTTCCATTGCTAGTGGCATGCTTTATTTGGGATGGGGTTGGCCATTCAAGATCGAGGAAAAACTTTAGACGCACATCTTGTATCTTGGCTTCCTCTTTGGTGATCACGAAATATAGTCACGCTCCATCATTCACAACCGGTCAACTTCCCAGTTCCAAATTCCACAGACACTATCTGCTTTCATGAACGTACTTAAATACAATACTTTATCATGGATACAATGGCTATAACCCTGCTACCACGAAGTAATCTTCCTGTATTGGGGGCCGTTCGACATCGTAAATCCAATCGCTGTTCTTGCGATATACCCCCCCGCCGCCGAAGGACGACTAAGCCATCGAAATGGCTACCGATATAGAGTCGGCGGCTGCCACAGCTCCAGAAACCCCCTCGGGCAACAATGATACATCGTCCTCATCCTCTCATGGTGGTCCTATCGATACCGAGAAGCTTGGAAGGAGTAGACCTTTACTTTTTGCTAACGGCTGGGTTGAAGTAGGGTTTTGTATATCCGTTCTCGGTTCGGTGATGATGGGGGAGTTCCTCATCAGCGGATTTAGCGTATTGCTCCCGGTGCTCATCGAAGACACGGGTATCGACCCCGGCCAGAGGACCTGGCCCATCACCGTCTTCTCCCTCGTCGCCGGCTCGTTGTTACTACCCTTTGGCCGGCTTGTCGATATGTTCGGCGGCTACCCTATCTATCTCGGGGGGTTATCATGGCTAACGCTGTGGGCGATAGTTGGAGGATTCAGCCGCACTTTGCCGATGGTTTTAACGAGTCGAGCTCTCCAAGGAGTGGGAGCAGCTGCCTTCCTACCTGCTGGTACGACGTTATTAGGAACCACTTACCGTCCCGGTCCACGAAAGAACGTTATATTCAGCTTTTATGGTGGTTGTGCGCCTTTGGGCTTCTTCTCTGGGATCGTTGTTGCAGGTCTTACGGGCGAGTTCCTTTACTGGGGTTGGTTTTTTTGGATTGCATCTATACTACTGGCTTCCTTGTGCTTGATGACCTTTTTCTGCGTTCCTCATGAGTGGAAGCGTGGCGACTGGTCCTTAATGGATTGGTGGGGTTGCCTTACTAGTATTTGCAGCTTAAGTCTACTTACATACGCCATCACCGATGCCTCCCACGTTGAAGGCCATTGGGCTTCCCCTCAGATCATCGTTACATTTATACTTGGGCTTATAGCATTTGCGGCTTTTATCTATGTGCAAGGATGGGTTGCCAATTCTCCTCTACTACCTTTGGACTTATTTTCTATCAAGTACATCGGACCAATATTCCTCGTCCTCTTCATAGCATGCGGCTGCTTTGGCATATGTCTCTTATACGCAAGTTTTTAGTAAGGCCTTGCCCAATCTGCAATTTAAGAAATACAAACTCAATATACTAACTTATGCCAGTATACAGATTGTCCTTGAAATCCCGCCGTTACTCGCCGCACTTTGGTTCTCTCCTATGGCTGCCGGTGGAATCATCATCGCTCTCTTAGGCGGATTGACACTCCATCGCTTACCTGGAACTATACTCCTCCTGCTGGCTGGGACAGGTTTCGTAATATGTCCTCTCCTATTCACCCTCATCCCCCAAAATCCTAATTATTGGCGGTGGGTTTTCCCGGCAATGGTGTGTACGACAATAGGTATTGATATTAGCTTCAACGTGAGCAGTATCTTCATTACTACCAATGTCCCCAAACATCAGCAAGGCCTAGCAGGAGCATGTATCAATGGGTTGGGATACCTGGGCATCAGTTTCTTTCTCGGTTGGGCGGACTTTGCTGTCATTAGTAGATCGAGTGGGCTTGGAGAAAGTTACAAGGTGGCTTTCTGGTTCGCTGTCGGATGTGGAGCCGGAGTCATCTTGCTAGTCTTGGGCTTCGTCAGGATTGGTAAAGCCAAAAGTGACTTTACGGTAGATGAGAAAGCACAGCAAAGAGAAGCAGGTTGCGAAAGTGAGCAAGCTAGGCAAGAGACGGGGATTATAACATAATCTTGAAATCTGTAAAATATTGATCGCCTACGTCCACAATTTCGAGAGAGGGAGACACAGGTTCACAAGTGAGGACCGTTTCGGCCCTCCAGACTTGGTTCGAAGAGACATTTGCGATGTGAATCACCTCTATTTTCAATACCGGGTGTAGAATTAACTGCCTAAGTTGGTTTCTAGATTTTACTAACTAAATACTATTGAGTCCTCAAACTAACATATAGCTAAATCATTAACTAAGTTGCAAATCGGCATGATTTATATCTATCCCATCCGGGGGAACGTACTGTTTACCTGTCTATTTTTCAACGCCGACGCCGTTCTGCTTCTTTGCGAGTTCACGCTCATGTTTCTCCTTCCGCCATTTGATCCCATACTTCAGGATATAAAACAGCATCGGCGAGAAAGCTATGTATATAAAGCCCAATATCGTAAACGCCCATCCAATCCCAACGCCGTTTATCATGGGCCCTATCACCGCAGTCGCTGCAGCGCCAATCAGGCATCTAGTTAAGTTATTACTCGCGGTAGCAGCTCCCGCATTACCCACGTTCACATCAACAAGAAGTACGTTGAGCGTGTTGTTGAATCCGATTACAGCCCAGCCCAGCAAGAATAGCAGGACACATGGCACGGCCACGTGTGCATGATATTCGAATACCCAACCCCAGGCGATTATACATGCTATGCATAGGGCCAGCATTGGAATACCGATCTCGAGCCTGGCACGCTCAATCGGGAAGTCGGATAGGTCTTGCTGCTTGCTACGTTCGAATGGAACACCTTGTAGCTTACAATGCCGCCGGTAGTTCCAATTCATCAATCTCCCGTTCGCGATAGCGGCAGCTATACTGCCGCCGACCATAGGGAGGTACATAAGCCCCACCTTGATCTCATCAAAGCCATAGTTAGCAGCTAGTTGCGTGGGCATGACGGTAGCGACGCAGTAGAATCCTGTGAAAACAATACCGCCATACCCGAGCAGGAGGAACATCTCCTTCTCGAGGAGAATCGTGATCGATTTCCAGACATTGAATTTCTTCACATGGAGGCTACGTTTCGTCGATACGCGTGATGGTGTGTGGGCTAATGGAGCGCCACTAGACTGTTGATTGCGGCGCTCGCGGCGTCGCCGCAAGGCGTCTTTACACAGTTGCCAGAACGTTCGGTAAGCGGGGTGCGGGCGGATCGATCCATCTCCCACGATCTCCCGGCAGGTCTCAGGCAAGAAAAACGCGTGGATGACAAAAACTACCGCGGCTAGGATGGCGAGGATCCAGAAAATAAAACGCCAGCCAACTTCCTGCGACAGTACGCCACCGATCACAGGTCCTATGGCTGGCGCTAGGAGAATGGGCAGAGAGGTGTACGCGACATAGTTGCCCCTTTCGGCCGAGGTAATGATGTCGGCGACAACTGCTTGACAGAGCGCCACGGTCGTACTAGAGCCGGCAGATTGCAGCATGCGGAGGACTAGCAGGGCCGGGTAACTAGGCGCTAGGGCACATCCAATATTAGCACATATATATATGACGAAGCATATGAAGTAAGCCGGCCGGCGTCCCGCGGAGTCCGCTAAAGACCCGACGAACATCGGAGTAATCCCTTGGAAAACCTGCACATGAATAGTTAGCGATTACGGTCTGGGATATGATCTACCCTGACGAGTCATGTTAAACAACCCCCCTTTCTCCGATTTTCAACGTACCATGTAAGTAGTGACAGTCAAGTTGATCTGACTAGCCGTAACGTGGAATTCCTGAGCTAGGACCGTGAGTGCAGGTAGGTAAATCTGTGCTGTGAGAGGCGAGAAGAAGGCCCCGATAGCAGCACCAAGAACGATGCCCCTTTTCTCCCAATCTGTAAACGCGGAGTAGTTTGGCCGCTGGTCGACGACGGGCTGCTCACTCAGGGGCTCGGCTAATAGCCCAGAATTGCCCTCCTCCTTATCTTTCTCTGGCGGATTTAACTTCTCCTCGAGGCCATCTTCTACGTTCTCTTTCGTCATGGCGGCTTCGAACTTGTTGCCACTGTGGCTGGTGCGAGACGAGGTTTCCGACATGACGATGTGGGAGCCCGGGAAGCTGGCTTTTGGCTCGTAAAGATGCCAAGAACAGCTCTAACCATTTGCACCGGGTCCCTGCTGCTTAAATATCTCGCAGTTCCGAGAGGAACGTTGAGCATTTTGAGCAGACCATACGACGTTGCTAGCCGTTCTCGCTTTGCGAGATTTCCAATGGCGGCCAATGATTCTCGGCTCGAGGGCCATTCCGCCTGGTTTAAGTGGGCTTTCGGAGCCGACAGCGGGTTTCTGACCCCGGTAAAACGTGGGATATGCCGGTTTAGGGGCTTTGCTCAACAACTTTGAACATTACAAATGCTGAATTAGTTAACATTACCGCCTTATGCAAAGTTCACAGATGCTGTGACTCACTTAGTCGGGTCTTGTGGTCGTATCTGCAGTTATGAAGCATCCAGGCAAACCGGCTATTTGATGCCTATATTGTCTCGCATTACGAAAAGGGTAAGACTTCGGTGAGGTTGACCGTTTTATTACCCGATACACAGCAATTCTATACTCGATAGGGGCTACGAGTCGAAGTTATTATCCACTCTCCATGTCGCAATGTGAGTCACGGAGGTTGATTGTCTGATCACGATTTACATGCCCATTAGAGGCGTTAAGAATAGAAACTCGAGACTTACGCATAACTACAATATATTCGCCTGTCTTTCTGCATTGTTGTCTGATAACTGTTTAGGAGAATCTACGTAGACTGTAACTACGTGACATTATTTCCGTAAGTTTGGTTTCATAGAGTTAGTAATTAGTATGAGCGTAATTCTTCCACTTTTGTGTAATTAATCTTTCAGGCAATGATTCCTTTTTCTTTTTCTTTTTTCTCAATGCAAGTATTAGAAATTTAAATAGGCTCAAGAAGCATTCGTGTATACGCACGTATAGACTATATTTCTAGAAAGTAGATCTTATTACTTGCTGTGGTATGATGTTTCAAAAGGCTGCCTAGTTGCTTGGGAGGAGGAAGAAAAGGGGTTGCGGATCGAAAGTTGGTTGCCTAGGGCAAAACGAATTAAAGCACAAGAAAACAAGAATTTTCAAGTTGCTGCGCATGGATTCGAACCAACAACCCTCAGTGGCATAAAATGCGTGGTCACATGTAGACCAAAATAGCAAAAAAAGAAATCATCTTCTAGGCCCAGCCTTGGAACTATAGTGCCCGTAGCTACTGCGCCCCATTACACTCTAGAACTGGCATCATACATGTGCTCTATATGGTGGATAGCCTAGAGTTCATGTCCGCAAGACGGGTAATCTGGTATTTGTTTGCGACTCCTTTTCAGGAATGGACCTCTCGGCTTCCCAGCCATCCTCGAGATCTTGTCGTGTCTGGGCAGTGACCGGATGAGCCAAACGCTCTTGAATCGCGGTATGCCAACTGTGATTGCTGCTGCTGTTATTGGGGCTTATCTGCTTAAACTCGGTTGCCAGTGACTCATGGTTGTACCTTTGTATGTACTTAGGTACACCCGGCGACGACGAGGTGCACGACCCTCAGGTACTTAACTACGCATATCCAGGAATAAACTGCAACTGTCAAAATATCCGTATTAGAAGTTTAGCAGCGGAAACCAAATTATCTACTCCAGCCTTGTCCAGACATTTCGTTACTAGTAATTTAATAGATTAGATATCTACTGAACTGTAGCTAGGAATTATGACCTACGATATACTCTCCCCTAAAGGTTGAAAGAGACAATAATCTAGTATGTGATAACATTTGGGGTTTTTGTCTATGATCCAAGAATTCGTGAAGCCCATTAACAAACATATAACAACTCCGAGTCGGCCACAATATTTCTAGTATACAGAACATACCAATATAACTCAAGTATTGTGGGTGTAGCATTATCATCCGTGTAGTTTCAACTGGCTATGTTCAATTGGTCGAAAGTGCCTCAAAAACAAATGGCCATTGTCAACATGATGGTTGATGCTCATCAGCAGTATGATAGAGTACCGTTGTCCTTGATAACCTCGAAAATCGAACTCATAATGCAGAATATATACATATACAAAGAAGGTTAAGCATGCACCGATGGCAATGCCGACTATTTGCCAGGCCTTCTCTAACATAGATGCCAGATGCGAGACTAAAAACTTACTTTTCGGTTCCTTTTTGTCACCACACTTTGCTTTTTTATGATAGCCTCAAAACCCCCTTAACTGCCTCCCTCCATAATGGACCCAAGTAAAACATAATCGCTAACTACCGATGCAAAAAAAAATCCAGGTAAAACATATAATTACCTAGGTATGTAATCCGCAAGTTCGAGCGTGCATAAGCTCTCTGCGTTTCTTATCTTTTACTGTTTTACTTATTAATTAACCGCTCGTGAATGGGATATAGGGGAGACGATATACTTACCACTATCGAATGCTAAAAACTCATGTAAACCTGATCCCGCGGGTACCATGGGAAGCACAGGTACCTTCTTATCTGTTATGACCTCTAAGAAGGCCGGGCCATCGGTGTTGATGAGCCATTCTAGGCACTCCACTGTGTTTTCAGGTTTGATAAGTCTTCGATGCTGGACTCCCATAGCGTCGGCTAGCTTTATGAAGTCGGGATTCTTCTGGTGTGTGTGCGCGTATCGGTCATCGTAGAAGAGGTTTTGCCATTGGGTCACCATACCCTGCTCCTCATTATTCAGGACGATAACCTTAACGTCGATGTTGAATTGTGCAGCAGTTGATAGTTCTGTCAAGGTCATGTTAAACGAAGCGTCACCATCGATATCGATAACAAGGGCATCAGGTCGAGCGACCTTAGCACCAATAGCAGCGGGAAGTCCATATCCCATAGTGCCGAGGCCTCCGGATGTAATCATGGTCCGAGGGTGCCTCCACCTGAAATGCTGAGCCGTCCACATTTGGTGCTGGCCAACACCTGTCGTGAGAATCGTGTGCCTCTCTCGGTTGGCCGTCAGCTTGCTAAGCTCTTCGATTACAACCTGCGGCTTGATCATCCCCGCTCGTTCGGTTCGCTCAAAGTCGTTCATAGGCCATTTTGCCTTCCACGAATCAATCTGACTAAACCATTCCTTACGGTCCGACATGCTCTTTATGTTGATCAAGGGAAGAAGCTGTCGGATATTCTCTGCTACGTCGCCCTCGATAGCTTC